ATGCAAAGTTTCAATAAAAATTTCCAAGTTTTTCTTACAATTTTCGTGGTTTTTATTCAATTTTTACCGATACCGATAATATCTCGATATTTCCATCGATATTTCCGTATTTTTGGACTTCCGATATTTCCGATACCACCGAAATTTTAGACCTTGAGTGGAACCAGCATGAGGCCATGTGGGAACCAAATGCGTAGGAATTTTTTCAAATTTGAGACCTTTTTTATAATTATAAAAATAAATTATAGGGTTATAGCAAAAGAAAAGCGTTTTAAGTCAACAAGGGTTGGTTGAGTTTGGTAAGGATCATTCTCTTCGCTATTGAGGCTTAGGTTCGATTCCCGCTGCCGACAATCCCTCTTGGTGAGGTAATCTGTAAAAACGAAAAAATGGATTAAGACCCCATTTGTAAGTCCTCAAAGAAGCCTTGGTATGCCCTGATTCTGGGATCGGGTAGCCTTCCCTCCCCTATAACTTTTCTTAATCCCAAAAAAAAAAAAAAAAATGTGTTTCAAACGACATGTTTTTAACCAATTTTCTCCCAAAAATTTTGTTTGTAACTTTTTTATTTTTAACGAGGAACCACCTCACAGTAGGGCTTATTGGACCCGCCCATATTGTATAAACTCCGGAGAGACTAATGCAGCAACCCACCGCCACGGCCCCCCCACTTAAATATTGGTTTAGTACCGTGGATGACCGAACCCACAACCTATAGAGTATAGAGCGCCGGTTGGTAAACTTTTAGAATGCATTTATAAGGTTTGAACCTTCTGTGGACAGCATTGCAAAAGCAGGATATCCAACACCACCCACTGTTCATCACGCGCCTGAAGTGCGCTTACTAAACATCGTCTCCTCTCCCCAGGAATATTAAAACTTCTGTGGTGATTTTGAAACGGTTAAATTTGTGGAGAACTAAATTGGAAATTATGAAATAATTTTCTTTTTCTTTTTCTTTTTCTAAAATAGACTCAGAGTTGGTGACTGGAGTTTTTTGGGGTTGGTGGTGAGGACGCCACTTGTCTGCACTATGTTTGGGAGATTACATTTTTCTGAATTTATTTATTGATTCAATTACCTGATATACCCTCTGATTTGTATGAAAAACTATGCTGCGGAGAGGAGACATGTTTTGTTGTTGAGTGAGTAGGTGTGATGGGACCCGATTTTATACTTAAAACGCAAGATAATATAGTAAAACAAAATTATGGCAGCTATGAAAATGCGACCAGATTTTGGTATGAGGAGTTATTATTACTGTTATCAAAATTAATTCATGTTTAATTATAAGAAAACAAAACGAATGTAACTTTTTAGGGTTTAGGGTTTATTTACATATTCTTAATCAAATATGACAAGATTTTGATATTTTGAGGAGTTATTGTTACTGTTATCAAAATTAATTCATGTTTATTTATAAGAAAAAACTGAATGATTTTCATTTGTAACTTTTCCGCTCGCGTTTATTTACATATTCTTAATCAAATGCAACAAGATTTTGATATTTTGAGGAGTTATTGTTACCGTTATCAAAATTAATTCATATTTACTCATAAGAAGAAAATGAATGATTTTCACTCGTAACTTCCCCGCATATTTATTTACATGTTCTTAATCAAATACCTGAAAGACTAACCACATTCACTTAACAATTTTCAGTTTTAAATACCATTAGAGCAACAAAATGAGGCCATCTGTAGCTTGAGAACTCAGAGATCTCAAAATCATCCCATAAAATCTAATTAATAGAAATCATCCACCAAACGCATCATGATGTTTTAAGGCCGAGGCTCCAACAATGAGAGCAGATTATTGGCTTTGATTACTTAGTGGGTGTGAGACGACCTCCAATGGGAATGAGACGTCGTGATCCCAATTAATGGTCTTTGCATCTAAGGTGAGGATTACACTCGAGGAGAGCTTAAGCCACCGGCAATGAGCTCTGAGAAGACAATGCACGTGATTGATAAAGGCGATTTGTGGGGTTTTTTTTTTTTGGACGCATCATGATGTTTTAAGGCCGAGGCTCCAACAATGAGAGCAGATTATTGGCTTTGATTACTTAGTGGGTGTGAGACGACCTCCAATGGGAATGAGACGTCGTGATCCCAATTAATGGTCTTTGCATCTAAGGTGAGGAGGACACTCGAGGAGAGCTTAAGCCACCGGCAATGAGCTCTGAGAAGACAATGCACGTGATTGATAAAGGCGATTTGTGGGGGTTTTTTTTTTTGGTTACTATATTTGTGGTACTTTTCTAATTGTTATAAACTACAATTTCAGAAATTGATATTTGCACATGGGAGAATTCTAATTGATATTTACAATTTTGATTCCCCTTCTTCCAATATCTGTGTTGATACCAAATATGAATGAATCTGTCAAAAAGAGAGTTCTCGTCACTTAGAGCATCTCCAAAGGAGATGTCAAATACCAAACATCAAATTTAAATTTGATGGCTGATGTGGCAATTTTATATTTACACAGTTTTACACTCTACCCGATATGTCAAGTAAATAATTATTGTAACAGTCAAATCATTCAAGATAAAGAAGAAAAAAAATAAAAAAGGAAAATAATAAATGAAAGTAGCAGCTAGTTGTCTTTAAAAAATAATAAAATATTCATTTGACATCTTGCTTTTGGTATGTCAAAAATAACAGCTGAACCTCCAACCTTCATTCCACATCAGCTTTGACAATTCGGTTGGAGTGATGTTAGATGTTTTTTTCTAACCGTTAAATGTCTATGTGGCACTTTTGACATATTGGTTGGAGATGCTTTTAAGGAGGTAGGCAGGCTTAAAAGGCCAAATACAAGGCCCAAAATCTTTTATTTGCGTCCACGGAGG